GCAGGGGGGTTGGAACTAGATGGTCTTTAAGGTCTCTTCCAAACCAAACTATTCTGTGATTCTATGACCTTAATTGCTCAGAGACAAAACTGCAGCCCTGACCCAAGCCCTCCTCTGACCACTCATCATTTGCAGGCCCAGCAGCCAAGAGCACAGACTGCTGCAGTCTCCTTCGTGTCCCAAGAGGTACCGCTGCAGACCTAGGAGCCATCATCTCTAACACTTCAGAATGGTGCTTTCATAATGCGGAAAATGTATTTTACATGCCTGGAGTGTAGCCTGAGGGCATTTAGGAGGTGCAAAGCTTACTGGAATGCTGATGAAGGACTAGGAAACGTGGAGAGAACTGAAACTGGTACAAATTTGTTTCTATGGGCTACTGGAGATGGTGCCCAGCATGCACTTGTTTGCAAATAGCACCTGAAATTGTGGAAGTGAGTGCTAACTGACAGAGGGCAAAGTCACACCGGGGAGCACATGGAGCAGTTAAGTGCTGAGGGCCCTGACCTTATGCTGTGTGTTATTGTACACTGCAGACCTTGTCAGTGGAGCCATGATCCATGAATCAAAGCCATGGGAAAAAGGCAATTTGTCAGGGCAAGTGCTGTGTGGGTGACAGGCCAGGGTTGAGACTGGCAAGAGGCACCTGGAATTCTGAGGAAAGGCACTCTGAAGAGTGCAGATACAGAAACTGAGGGAGTATGGGGCAGTCTGCTGACAAGAAATTGAGGTAACGGGTTTGAGAGAGGCAATGGGGGAAGGAATTAAAATGCAGGTTGGGGGCTATGTAGGGAGGGGGTAGGACTGCTTTCTAGAAAATAAGGACTTCATGCAGGCTGTGTTGGTGTCTCATGCTTCTCCAGGAAGCTGAATGGGTTTCATGCTTTCAAATACGAATTTCGGCATCAGTGTCGCGGATGAGGGTTGGGAGGCACCGGCACAGGTTGCCCAGAGAAGCTGTGGATGCCCCATCCCTGGAAGTGTTCAAGGCCAGGCTGGATGAGGCTTGGAGCAACCTGGCCTAGTAGAAGGTGTCCCTGCCCATGGCAGGGGGGTTGGAACTGGATGGTCTTTAAGGTCCCTTCCAACCCAAACCATTCCGTGATTCTATGATTACTCTTGTGCCAGGAAGAAGGTGATGGTTTGTAAACTGCTGCAGTAATTAATGGCACAGCAAACATAGCTACCTTTTCTTTGAGAGGAGCAGCTCTGCTGCATAGACATAGCCTAGACCTGGAGATTCCCACCCTCCACACACAAACATTTTTCATATAAAATTATTTCCTGCTTTTATTCCTCAGGGGAATGAAACTAAGACCTTACGAAATGTCATGGAAAAGACATGAGGGCCCAGACTAGACAATGGATCGGTACGTTGCAAGCCTTCCTGAAGGAAGGAGTTAGGTCCAAGTCAGGCCAGGCTGATACACCAGGCCCTGATAGGAAAACTACCACCCTAGCACAGTGCAATGCCTTTGTGTCTCCATCAGTATTTTAACCTACTGGATGTTCTTGACAGTGAGAGTGTTCTTCATCAGAGATTAACAATCACACTTCTTTATTTGCAATATACTGAAAAAATTGTAGGCTGGGGGTCAGAACCACGCACAGTCACAGTCACTGGCTCTGACTGGTCTATGGCAACCTGTTCATGCCTCGTTTAAAGCTCAATTTCTGCATCTGCAGGAAGTGAGAATATAGATCAGTCAACCAGAAACTTAAACAAACATACCATGGTCTTCCCTATGAAGTAAATGCACCCCTACCCATCTCAATTTAATGTCAAACAATCAAAAGCCAGCTTCCTTTTGTGAACAGCGTAAAGAAATCTTTTGTGTAACACCTCTGAATCATAGAATCTTTAGGTTGGAAAAGATCTTTAAGATCATCAAGTCCAACCATTAAGCCAGCACTGCTAATACCACCACTAAACCCTGTTCCTAAGCACCTTGTCCACACATCTCTTACATACCCCCAGGGATGGTGACTCAACCACTTCCCTGGGCAGCCCATTCCAGTGCCTGACAGCCCTTTCTGTGAAGAAATTACTCCTAATATCCAACCTTTGCCTCCCCTGGTGAAGCTTGAGGCTGATTCCTCTTGTCCTGTCACTTGGGAAAAGAGACCAAACCCCCTCTCTGCACCCTCCTTTCAGGTAGCTGTAGGGAGCGATCAGGTCTCCCCTGAGCCTCCTCTTCTCCAGGCTGAACACCCCCAGCTCCCTCAGCCGCTCCTCACAGCACTTGTGCTCCAGACCCTCCCCCAACTCCATTCCCTTCTCTGGACACACTCCACCACCTCAATGAATTTCCTGAGGTGAGGGACACAAAACAGGATTTGCGGTGCGGCCTCACCAGTGCCCAGTACAGGGGGACAATCATTGCCCTGGTCTGAGATGCCAGACAGTCATTGCTGCAGCCTCAGGGCTGCAAAAAACCCCAAACCTGTCCCAAAACTGAGCTTGGAAAAAACCCCACACAGGAAATTTTACTCTGGAGCAAATCTCCAACAACCTTTGTGTCTAAGGGCAGTTTAGTCTTTAATTTTGTGGCTATGATGGTTATGGCAGTGTACTGAGAAAGTAGATGACCTGTATTCATGGAATGGGAAAGTAGCGTGGGTCTGTGCCCAAGTGGTGTATCTGACGTTCCCAGGAAGCAGGTGAGGAAAACTCACCTTGTACTGAGGACATATAAAACTGTTCATGACTGGCTATCTTCAAGGCCAGGCTGGATGAGGTTCGGAGCGACCTGGTCTAGTGGAAGGTGTCCCTGCCCATGGCAGGGGGGTTGGAACTAGATGACCTTTAAGGTCCCTTCCAACCCAAACCATCCTGCGATTCTATGATTTACATGCCCAAATTGTTTTCCTGTCCCTTAGATATTAATCTTACCAAATCAGTGCATTTAATATAGCAAAGATTCCTCACAAGTTAAAGACACAGAAGTCAGGCTCTAACATCCAGAGTTCTGTAAACAACTGTGCCAGTGAGTAGTTTCTGATAGCTCATAAGCAGAGTTCTATTTTTTAAGCATGTTTGTTGAATTAGAAGAATAGCCTCGCTGCGCTGAGGCTAAGAGTGTTAGGTGAGGTACAGCAGTACCTTTCACTGACACGGTCCTGAGAAACGTTTTGGTGGGATTTGTTTTTCAATGAAATTCTAAACATAGTAAATGCACAATGGAGAACTGCAACACTATTTTAAAACCGCCACTGCAGTTAACTAAAATTGATCTTTCTAACAAGTGCTAAAAATAGAACGAAGAGAGCACAAAATGACTTTTCCTATTGCTCCCTGCAGGCTCCTTAAATACGGGTGACTATGACCTTCACGCAAAGCTGTCCCAGAGTGTGGGACAATGAGGGATATTTCACATCCCACTGCTCTAGAACAGGAATTGATTTATTACCCAGCCAGCTAGGGAATTCGTTTACATGTTTCCATTTATAACACCACTGTACCAAAGGAAAAAAAAGGAGGCTTTTGCTTTTCTTTTATTCAGCAGTTTAGCAGCAAAGCATCAATTCTGGAAATAATAACATGCAATGTAGTGTGAAGTGTTACATCTGACAGCCCCTTTTCTGTGGGCTGTCTTGCTGAAGGGGAATAAAACACAGTCATCTCTGATGTTCTCCTGATATATTTTCCCCTTGTGAGAGATCCCATGTGAACAAGATATGAGATGATCCTGCAAACCTTGTGAATTACATCTCTTCCTGCACCCCACGCGCTTCAGCTCTGGGTTACTCTGGTGCAGCTACACAAAAGCCCCACTGATAGGACGTCTGCAGTTGGAAGCTAGTCTCAGAACAAGAAAACAGCACCTTCAGTACAGCTGGGGAGAAAAATATTCTCTCATCCCACAAGAATTTCAAAAATAAACCCTGATAAATTTTCATGAGCTCACCCCCACAATTGTTATTAGATATGAAGTGGTTTATTTCAATATGAAAATAATTTAGCAAGCTATTTTTTCTTATGGTTTACAAATGTAAATTAGTCTTTAATTTCTAATTGATACTGCTTAGACCTGAAACTGGAACCTTTTCCTTTTTGAAAATTTTAAGAGGATGCTCTAACAGCTTTGAAAGAAAACTATTTGTAAGGATGACTCAATTAAATGAAGAGTAATCCTCTCCTAAGAGAAGTTTTGGATTCATCAGATGTGCATCTTCTGAGGTAAAGGATTCCTTTGATAATCCCAGCTAGCTTCAATTCCTGGCATTAGCTGATGATGGGAAGAGAGAATAAAGCCTATCTGCATTACCCTCTGTTTTGATAGAGGCTACAGCTTACCCTATTCCTTCTGCACAGTTTTCAACAGCAAATGGGCAGTCCCAACAGAGCAATCCTGCCAAGATTGGGGAATGGTAGTTCTCTCTCGACAAACTTGTTAACGTGAGAGATTCTCCACCCTGGTGGAAATGCAGCAATGCCTAATCATTGCATAAGGTATTCTGCATCTCGGAAAGCAGGACCGAGCAGATGTGATTTAAAGCAAAAACTCCTCAAGGTCATGAACAAGCATTTGTCCAGGCCCCACGTAAACCATCAGTTGTCTCATCTAAGCACAAACCCAAGCACAGTAAATTGTATAAGCAAGCATTTATGTGTTACTCAATCAAATAGCAGTCAGGAGCTGCAGATAAGATATAAGTCTGTACGTGCATATGGTAAAATTCATCATGCATATGGTAAAATTCAGCAAAGAACCAGCTGACATGCATCAACTTCAATCCAAAGCTTTAAAGCAACTTACAGGCTTTACCCCAACTTCCTCTACAGTTACCCTCTACATTGCTGTTTCTCGCCTGCTTTTTCTGACACATTTTCATACAAGGACCACAAGCTTACCTGGTCCTAGCTTAGAAACTGCATAAAGGAGATCGTAGTTGATGACGGGTGTTGCATCATCTATCGGTTGCCACCCTACAGGTGGGGAGGCTGGAGGTGAGATGAGAAACTGTTTTGCAGGCTGTGGTGGTGCCAAATGAAGCTTGTCTCCATCTGTCTCAGAGGTCTGAATCTTTAAAGCATAACAAATACATTGTTTAGTATAGGATGGGTAAATGGAATGATTACTCAAATCATACCCTGCTAATACCAAATGCCACCCAGGCGAGGTGTCAGCATCAGCCGAGGTGTCAGCGTCAGCCGCAGCAGAGAAGGCCTGGAGATGAGTTTCATCTCAACCTTACAGATGGTTCCTCTACAGTAAATACACTGTGGGGGGCTGTTACATGAGCAAAGCTACAATGTGTGTGCTACTGTATATGTATGTTTGTGCCTACTATATATGTATATGCAAAGCTTTGCTGTTCACAGCTCCTAGCTCAGAAATTTTTGAGGCTGAAAAGTTATTATTTGAACTACCAGCCTAAACTGCTAAATAAAACCAGACTTTAGTCAAGAAACCAGTAATTCCTTCACTAAGGCCTTAGCAGTAACTTCAGAAAGGTTTCTGAAGATTTGATTGCTTTAGCTGAAGGGACAAAGAACCCATCACATTCCGTAGTCATTTGAACATGTTCTCATTTTATTTCCATCTTAAATTATCTAGTTTAATTCCTGCCTTTTTTTTTTTTTTGGATATATTAAAGAAGTCTCAACACAAATGGACACACCTGAGCAAGTTTACAACCAGCTTGGGCCCAGAAGCAAGAAACTGCATTTGCATGACAGCAAACCTGAGACAGTCCCCTGCTATACTACAGTTTGGGTCTCTCAGCTCCACGCTACCCAGAACTTCTAGTTCTGGAAGTGCTTATTGTCTGGCTCAGGTCCATACACACATACACTGCTCCAGGCACTGTGCTGCTTCCACATATTCATTCCCTGGACACAACTAATAAGCTCTTTTAGGACTGCATGTACTGGAGAGCATAGCGCAGATATCTATATGGCTTTGCAGGAAATCAGCTTAGATATGGAGACTAATCGCTGTTACGCACACTTTTTCTTGTGTTATCCCAAGTTTCCTATTAACCTTCTGATTGTGCAGTTAGAGTAAAATGATTCACATCTGCTTAATGCCAGGTTTTGAAACCTTTCAGAAAAAATTCAGAGCCAGACCTAGGAGATTAAGGCATATAAAATGGGATTGAGGTGGACTGTCAACACCTAAATCCAACTGTAAGATCTGAACTCATCTAACCCGTTAAGCATATTGTTCTTTTCACAATGTTTCCCATCTTCCTGAGGTTCAGCTTCTGCCTAGGCTCAAAACAGCTCCTGTTCCAACCAGGCTGCAGAGGCTCAAAATTTAACTGCCTCTTAGGTTTGACTGGTGTCTTCAAATGAGCCTGCCGTGAACCCAACACCTCTGAAGGACCAATCCGGCGGATCAAAGCACACTTACACTGCTTATAAGCACCAGTGAGTATCCCATAAGCCCCAGTGGTCACAGCAACTTGCTAAAATACATTCAGGAGAGGTGGCGGTTAGGTTCTCAACCTCCCTCCCCTTTCTACACTCTGGCTGGGGCCTAGTACTCAACCAGGCCGTGGGGCACCTGGGTTCTCTCAGAAGAATTCAAATCCCTACCTGACACTTCCAACAGATGGATATAATCCCTTGTGTCCCCGGGCTGGGGTTATTCTTCTCCCCTTACATACTCCCTTTTACGTGAACTCACTGATTTCCTTTTAGAAAAGGAAATGTATTCAGTAAAGGAAAATTAAAAAAAAAAGGCAGGAGGAAGCCTTGCCTACAGCTGAGGGTTGCAGTCAAGTAAGCAATCCAGTCCTACTTTTTTAATGAACTTACGATACTTTACTGCTTGTTTTATGATTAGTTTAGAGAGTTACCCACAGAAAATACCCAGTGTTGTAAACCAGCTCTAAGCCGTGTAACTTCTGTGTGTTGAATAAGCAACTTGGGTCCTTAGCGGTCTTTTAAATTTACGGCAGACCCACTGGGCAGGTACAGCTCAGGCAACATCAGGATGTCTGAGTAATCTTTCAGCAGAGAGATTTGGCATGGGAGAAACCTTTATTACTTCATTCAGTGTTACCGTGCAGTACTTCTATAAAAGCTACGCTCTACCATAGAAGTGGATACCAGATTTCATTACCTGTGCAAAATACAACTTTAACTTCTTCCCTCTGAACTGTGTTTCATGCAGCTCTATTCTGGCACGAGCAGCTGATTTGGGACTACTAAAATTTATCCGCACACGCCTGAAGCTTTTAAACAGCTGGAATGTCACACAGTCATCATAGGCACGGAACAAGCCTTCAAATTTTTCCTGCAAATGAAAAAGAAATAATGCTGAAGATTAACTCTGTGCTCTGTCACATCAGTCTATATCAAAGGATAATCTGAAACTTGACAACAACTGTTTAACCAGGTTTCAGCCTTTGGGGATGTGTGTCCACAGTCTAGTAATGGCTCTGTGAAAAGAAAGTAAGCAAAGTACCGGTCTGGAAGTGCTGAATGCTGCAAAATGTTTGGGGGAAGTCGTCTTCAAATTGAGAACCCAGCAGCTACTGAACTTCTCGTACACATTGAGCAAAACTGCGATAGTGACTTACGAAATGAAGCTGAAAAGGGCATATGACTGAGAAAAAGGGACAGCTGCGGTGTTGTCCGTACAAAAGCAGACATTATGCTGAACTACAATGGAGTCGGCAGACACTGTAACTGAGGGTTACATTCACATCAGCACTGCAGGGTCAGTTTGTATTTCATGTTATGTTTTTCTGGATGTTTTGGCATTTAAATACTTAGCAGAGATACACACTCATTCCTTGAGAGTTCCTGTAGCAGCAGGGAAAAAATTAGATAACTGATAACAGTGACTTGTCCCCAGGACAAATTTCAGCCCTTAAAATGTTTTGCTGTAAAACTCCATGTTCAAAAGGACATGACACAAATATGGATATTTTAACATTGTAAAAGAAAGTGTATCACATCTACGGACCTAGGGATTGTCAGAAATTCAAGGCATGTTAGAAGCCTTGGAGGACCAGACTCTTTCTGCAATTGCTCTGTCAAGTATGCACACACGGAGGACTAGTTAAACGTCATCAAATAAACCCAAAGTCCTTAAATCAATTCTGACACATTTGCACAGGTCTTTTCATTCACACAAGCATGGATTCACAAAATGTTGAGACTGAAAGAGAGCAGTTATCATTTAGCACAGCCTTTGTGTTTACTCAAGTTTTAGACTGACATCCAGTGAGTCTCACATGAAGTCCTAGCATTTTAACTGCAGCAACCAAGACTTGAAGTCGTAGAAGCTGAAGAACCAACCAGGGCAAAGCCCTTCTTTTCACAGAATCACAGAAACACAGGATGGTTCGGGTTGGAAGGGACCTTAAAGACCATCTAGTTCCAACCCCCCTGCCATGGGCAGGGACACCTTCCACTAGACCAGGTTGCTCCAAGCCTCGTCCAGCCTGGCCTTGAACACTTCCAGGGATGGGGCATCCACAGCTTCTCTGGGCAACCTGTCCCAGTGCCTCCCCACCCTCTCTTCGGAGTTCTTTATCCTAAAAAAAAAATGAGTGTTGATTTGCCACACCATTTCATACCCTGAGGGCTATTATGTCAGATGTTTGTATAATTACAACCACCTGATTTTTCCCTTGATACATCTGCAAGCAAGAAATTTTTTCTTTTTTTCTCATGCAGGAAAATAATTGTTAGAGTGGATAACTGGTAGAGGCTGCAAGAAGATGAAATAGAAAATGCAATTTACGTCATCTCATCAATGTTGTGACCTGCAAGCAAGACAAATAATCCAGAACTTGTTAGAAAAACGTATCCTGAAGCACAGTGAAGCTGCATCAGGGAGCACCAGGCACTGTCAGCACGATACATGTGTTGAGGAGTTAACTGGGAAAACAGCGCAGTTTCGTGGCAAGGAGTACAAAACGCTAATGCGCATGTGCCAAGCTGCCTTTCATTTACTGCCAACTCTGTGGTCTCCCTCCCCATCACTGATATTCCATTTCTGGCATCTTTTCAAAGGAACCTCCCTGTGGTCTATTAAGCTTTCATCATTTTCATTTCATTTCGCCTGACCCGACTCACCTCTCTTTCTCACCACAGGAGGTACTTTGGAGGAGGAAAAAAATAAAAGAGAGAGAGAGGAGAGAGCTCCGTGGTTTGGTGGAGGGTGAATAAAGGGACACAGTAATCCCACAAACAGCATGAAGTGGATAGGTTCGTACAGGCAGGTCTAGTCATACTGCCTAACGGTCAGACTGTCAACATTTCACACCTGAGTTATGTTTTTTAACTGCTTTGCTTATAATTTTGCAAAATCCCTTTTTCCTGAGCAGAAGTCTACATCCAGTGACATTTGTATAAAGGTCAGCCAAAAGCAGCCGACATCTCAGTCCTGTCCTGCTTGGAATTTTGATGCTGCAACCTTCACAATGACCAGGGGAAGAGGGCTGGGGGAAGGGAGAGAAAGGGACAGCCTATGTGTGAAGTAGGACTCGTGCAGCATTCAGAAACATGTAGTACTGTGTATAATCTAAATGAAAGATAATAGTGGCTAACTAATTAGAGCTTATGTCTTTATGTTACTCACATGACCTATTTCAGGCTTCAGTATTTTTAAAAAGCACCTTGAAGTAGACAAACTTAAGAACACATATATGAATGATATCATAGTATTTGTATTTATATTTATATATATATATGGGACAATCGAGGTATTACAACAGAAGTCACATAAGCTAAAAATAAGCAGCAAGGTGAATTATTTCCTAGTCCCCTGCAGCAGTTCTCCATTTTCTCACAAGTCAACAATGAAATCATTCATCATATTAAAAAATATTTTAAAAAGTACTTCCCCAACCAGGCAGAAACCATGCATGGACTTCTCTGGACATTAGGAAGTATCTGTTACGACAATTTATTGGGAAACAGATCCCCCTTGCATGGACACAGCAGTATTTTCAGGCATTGGCCAGTCCTTTGTGCCTGCCCTCCCTGAGCACAGCATTTATGACAATGTGGAACCTCGGTTAGGGGCGTAACGCGGAAGAATGGAGGATGAGGTTTCAAACGTGGGTCCAAGAAGAGTGAGCGCAAGGAACATCCTGGGCACATTTCCGGACAATACTGAGATGCACTCTCATCAGGCCCCACCAGGCACAGATGGGAGTATCTCTAAATACAGCTGATTAAGTATTAGACACCAAATGCAATACAGGGAGAACATTAAAGTGCTACGGACTTTATTCTGCTTACTTTTCAATTTGATAGCGGTGCAGCTTTAGAGATCCAGCTCTGATTAAGAATCCAAAAAATGCCAGGGGGGAGGAGGGAAATCGAGCCCTCTATTTGTTATTAATACAGGGCAGTCTGTCCACAGTGAAGACCCGTCTACTGCACCAACTGAAACTGCGTCGCCCATTAAAAGAGACTCGGACATCTGAATTTTTCTACATTTTCAGCTGATAATAATAATGACCTCAGCAGAGATCATTAATCATCAACTGCAGTTAATGGCGCTCAGCTGCATCTTGAGCCATCCCAATTCCTCCCAGCTTGATATTAATTCCCAGGAAATGCCTTATGCCTTAATTGCTAGTGCCTGTGACTTCTAGTATCTGCTGAATGTACTTATCTGGATGAAAGTCTCTCAGAGTCCTTCCTATCTATAAGAAGATGTATCATATACATTTTAAAGACCTAAGCAAATTCTCTCCCTTTCAAGTTTTGTGGGTAAATTATTCAAGACTCATAATCCCCTCAATTCAGGACTTGTAAAGCCCTTTTAGGATTCAGTATTTTTAAGATGCTTTTAGAAAATAAGTCTTTTAACTTTAAGAATACTTTGAAAACTCCTGAATAAAGGAACATCCGAGGTTAAGCAGCAGTATTGCCACTCTTCAAATGTCAAAATGCAGAAAGTCATGAGCGATGCATTTATTTCTGGGATTTGGGCATGTCTTCATCCACCCCAGGAATGTCTCTGGGAGACCCAGGTAATGCCCAGGCAGTGTGAGTCCCCTCCATTTGAGCAATCCTTCCGAAGCTCTCACTTCTCCCTCGTGGGCTCCGTGCACTCTCTTCATCTCGCCACTCCTGTGCCCAGCACTGGGCACCTTTCCCTAGTTCTTTCCTGTCACCTTACATATCCTCACATCACCTCCTATCACCCACTATTCACCACTTCCTCTAGAGTTCTTTTATTTTTTTAATTAACAAAATTAGCAAAAAGTAGGAAGGCACTAATTAAGGCCTCTGATTGCTCAAGCTTGATTGTTAGCATTTACAACAGCCAATGCAGAGGACAAGCAGAGTACTGTCCAAGGAAGAAATGAGCACTGGAGTAACAGAGATGAGCTGAAAGACTCAGAGTACAAGGGCAAAGCCCTGCACTCCTGGACTGAAAACTAACTCTGCTGCTCATGGGAGCTCACCAGGGAATGGAGATCCTGTAAGGCACATGATAAAAGTGATCAGTGAAATGCAGCCATAAAAAGGCAAAGAAAATACTGGATATATCTGGAAAAGTATTTCAAGTAAAGAAAGCATTAACGTTATATAGATGACTCTTGCACCTCATTAAAAATGCAGGTTTTGTTGCCTTTTTCCCAGATTGATTAAGCCAAATGGGAATGGAATCACAGAATGGTTTACATTGGAAGCGACCTTAAACACCATCTAGTTCCAACCCCCCTGCCATGGGCAGGGACACTTTCCACTAGACCAGGTTGCTCCACGCCTCATCCAGCCTGGCCTTGAACACTTCCAGGGATGGGGCATCCACAGCTTCTCTGGGCCACCTGTGCCAGTGCTTCACAACCCTCTCCAGAAAGAATTTCTTTCTGATATCTAATCTAAACCTCCCCACTTTCAATTTAAACCCGTTACCCCTTGTCCTGTCACTACAGGCCCTTGTAAAAAGTCCCCCCCAGCTTCCTTGTAGCCCCCTTCAGGTACTGGAGTAGACTCAGATAAAGGCTACAGGGAATGAACAATTTACTGAAGAAGAAATGAAAATGTTTGTCTTATTTAGCAAAACAAAGCAAAGCCTGAGAGGACACGGGACGGTCACCAGCAGTTTCCCAGAACTGTATAAAGACAAAGCATACTGTACGGAGTGAAGACTGGAAGACTACGGTTGGCATAAACCAAGTGGAAACAACTGGCACAAATAGGTTTAGGCCAGAAGTTAAAGAAGGTTTCAAACGTCAGTCATAATCCAGACACAACCTTCCAGTTACAGAAGCAGTGGCAAAAGACCTTTTTTTAAGATTGAATTGGGTTGGTTCACGC